AGAAATTAAAATCTGTATAAATCTTAAAATGCATTTATTTATTTATTGTTTGTGACTCATAGGTGGTCAGATAACACTCTATTTACTTTAACGGTTACTGTGAAATTTGCTTAAGAAGAACCTGATTCATATTATTACAATTACCATTTTTAGTCTCACATAGTTACTCTGTTGATTACTTGCAGCATCTTTATGTTTAAAACTTATCATCGTTATATTATAATTATTATTTTTCCCTTGAGTTCCTAGTGGAACATAGGACTTCAATTGTACGTGTCCGTTACACTCCATTCTCTCCAGTCTTCTCAACTTGGTGCCATGACTGCCCACAAGCTTTCATTTCTTCCTTACACCATCTCCTACATGTCACATTCGGATACCCAACGCGTCGTTTTCTATTCGGATTCCACTCGATCGACTGGTCTAGTGCGTGATCTCCCCAATCGGCCTTCTCACTGTATGCTCAATCCATCTCCACTTTCCTCTTCCACATATTTGTTGAGTGATAGGTTAATGGTTGGTTCGTTCCCAGAGTTACTTGTTGCTTATTCTTTCTAACCACCTGAGCTTCAGTATCGATTGAGCATAGATGGCAGCTGTTGATGAATGTCTGTAGTTTGTTCGAAGTGCTTTTCGTGACTCTCCAAGTTTATCAGCCACATAGAAGCACTGATTTGACTGAATAGTGTTGAAAATCCGGATCTCATAGCACGCTTTGTACTGAGTACAGAAGATCTCCACAATGATTTCAGATTAATGAACACCTGTCTTGCTTTTCTGATCCTGGCTGTTTTGACATCCTCGTCGGTGCCTGTGCCACCACCGGTAGTTGAAACAATGCTGTACTGCCTGGATAGGCGAAAGAGGCTACTTCCTCAGGTTTCTCCCGTTGATGGTGATTGGTGCTTGTTGTTCATACTGTTGTTTGTTGGGTATCTTCATCACCTCGGTCTTCTCTACATTCACTTGAAATGTCGTCTTCGCTGCCCTGCCTCTTCTGTCAACTTGTTAGTTTTCGCCTGTAGATCTCTGAGTATATGCGACACTAGACATAAAATCAAAATCTTGTAGGGTCTTTTCATCGGTCTTCTCAAACAGCATATGTCCATCTTCCTGCTCCTCACAGATTTCTGCTGCATGATCCAGTCGACCACAATCAGGAAGATCATCGGTGATAGTAGGTGGTAGCCTTGTCTTACTCCTGTCTTCACTTCACTTCAAAGGCGTCACTGAGCTTTCCATTATAGACCACTTCTCATGTGGCGTCGTTATATACCTGTTGAATGAGGTTGATAAAGATTTGTTGCACAGAAACCATAGTGTTGAAGCAGTTGTCAAATTATTTTCGGTCAGCTCTGTCGAAGGGGTTTTTAAAGTCGATGAAGTTGAGGTTAAGAGTTGACTGCCATTGTATATTCTGTTCTGTGATGGTGCGTAGCGTAGTTTTGCAATTTAATCGGTACATGATTTGTTCTCCCTGAAGCCAACCAGCCTGTTCCGGTCGTAATTTCGAATCTAGCGCATTCTTTAGTCTCTCCAGGATGATGCGGCTTAATATTTTGCTTGGGGTGCACAGCAGCATGATAACCCACTTAAAATCTTTAATTGTTTTTTGTCAAACCCCTACCACTTGATTGATGTTTTGATTGAATTGTAGACAATGGAATATACCCATTTAATTATAGGCATCAATCAATCTTGTTTTCTAAATATCTAAATAGGGTTTTCAAAGCATTCATTAATTACTTATTGTGACTATTAATCACTTAGCCTAACGTTGTTTCTATCATTTTACATAACTATGCAATCTACTAGCTCTTTAACAACATTTTCATTGACATTCTCGTCTGCTATTTCCACAGCTCCAAAATTTTCTATTCCATTAGACATAAATTGACATTAAGTTTGATTAAAGTTTGTGATTATTATTCTGGGATTTCTTCGACTCACTTACTACCTTATTATCAAGCCTGGATTTCATATCTTCATTTGTTTGTACATATTTAAAGTATTGGTTGAATTGTGTTCTCTGAGCTGGGTTGTTTAATCATGAAGCTTCCACCGTCTTTCTCCTAGACGACATCATCAGCACTAACTTCAGTATGAAGTGAGCTGTCAATATCTCTCCGTCAGTGATTCAGTGGCTTGCTCTAACGACATGGTCTATGATTGGTTGTTTCCTTCGATTGTTGTATCATCGATAGTAAAGACTTTCCTATTGGCTGTTCCTCTACTTCACATCTCACCTTTCTGTCGTTCATCATCTTTCTCATTGGTTGATAGATTGGGTCTATGTCTATACATCCATTGATTGCTGACTGACTGAACCGAATGCCAAGCTTCTACGACTTCTCTGATGATATTCTTCGTGTTTCCTCTGTCCAGAATTTCTACATTGTCGAAATTCAATTCATGCCCATACTTGTTATCCACATGCATTGAAATGAGTGATGAAATGTCGTGACGTTTAACAGGCAATTGGTGCTCATGTAGACGAAGGTGGAGGTGGGCGACCACTTTGTCCAATGTAGTGTTGACTACAGTTATTGCACTTGATTTTGTAAAAGATATTCAGTTTGCCTTCTTTGCTTGCTGCATTTTTTGATCTGCATAATGGTGTTTGGAGGGAATTTGTTGGTTTTAATAAGTGGCCACACAAATTCCAAGTGGTCTCAATAATGTTGTCGTGATTTCTGATACATTCTTTATGTATGGTAAGATGATGCGTTTATTGATTTCTGTGGATGACTTCGTAGTTGATGATGTACGGGATAGACATCTTGTGATAAAGTTTTGTGGGTAGTCATTCTTCTTTAGGGTGGACATTAAGTAATTTTCTTCGTTTCTCCGTGAATTTGTTGTGCTGCAGTGCATTCTCGCCCTTTTGAATAGAGTCTGTCCACCCTAAAGAAGAATGACTACCCACAAAACTTTATCAGAAGATGCCCATTCCGTGCATCATCAACTACAAAGTCATCCACAGAAATCAATAAACTCATCATTCTACCATACATAAAGAATATATCATAAATCATGAAAAGATTACTGAAACCACTTGGAATTTGTGTGGCCACTCATAAACCAACAAATTCCCTCCAAACACCATTATGCTGATCAAAAAACGCAATAAGCAAAGAAGACAAACTGAATATCTTTTACAAAATCAACTGGAATAACTGTAGTCAACACTATATTGGACAAAGTGGCCGCCCTCTTCGCTTTCGTCTACGTCAACACCAATCGGCTATTAAACGCCATGACATCTCATCGCTGCTCATTTCAATGCACATGGATAACAACTATGCACAGGAATTCGATTTCAACAATGTAGAAATGTTGGATGGAGAGAGGAAACACAAAGAATATCATCAGAGAATTTCTAGAAGCTTGGCATTCAGTTTAGTCAGTCAGCAATCAATGGATGTATAGACATAGACCCAATCTATCAACCAATAAGAAAGACGATGAACGACAGAAAGGTGAGATGTGAAGTAGAGGAACAGCCAATAGGAAAGTCTACACACTCAATGATACAACAATCGAAGGAAACAACCAATCATAGACCATATCGTTAGAGCAAGCCACTGAATCACTGACGGAGAGATATTGACAGCTCACTTCATACTGAAGTCAGTGCTGATGATGTCGCTGTCTAGAAGGACTATGAAATCTTCACGATTAAACACAACTAAGACCATCCACCTGAGCTCCAAATATTCTACATATTTAAAGTATGTTATATCATTATTCCTACTAGTAATACTTGATTTCAATTGTAGGCTGTTTGCAGCTGATGAGGTCTTTGTTTTTGTTTTCTTCAAATCACTCTTTAGTTTGTTGATGTAAGTAATTGACATTTTTAAGCATATCTAAGCATAACATATCATGAAGCTGATACATCAGCTATTAATGAATATCATCCAATTCAATATCTTGTCTAAGTTTGCAATATTTAAGGAGTAAACTAATACGTTATCATCTTATTAGAGAAATTGGCGCTTTTATTCATCCTAATATCGATTTACTGTACTCTGAAAATTGAAGTCTCCACAGTAGAAGCCTGAAGTGATTATCTTTCACCATTACTACAGACAATCTGCTTTATATAATCTTTTAATGGACCTAATGACATGGAACTAGAAGTTCAATATATAGAAGGCAACATTATCATTCTAAACAACTGTAAACTTTAATATTACACAACAATTTTATGGCACTTAAACTATAAATCAGGCAGTATCAAGGCGTTTGCGCAGGAGCCCATATACCAATACAGACCGATCATTTTAGTTCAATTAAAGACGGCATAATACAAGCAATAACATTAAGACCATACCTGTAGCACAAGAATTGGCTATCTTGGCTCAGTGGTCTAGCGGATAACGCTCTGACGTTTGAAGCGATCGGTCTCAATTTCGAATCCAGGTCCAAACAACACTGACATCAGCTAAAGTATTGGGCAGCTGTCTCGTTTCATTATGTGACTCCTCAGTTTTGCACAACCACCGATTCGCTAGGCATTAAGCCCAATACCTTTTTGCTTTCGCGACAAGCACGTAACCACAGAGCCAATGCGAGAAAACCTAATGTTTCACATTTTCCCACTTCTTTCAATTCGTTACATAACCCAACCATCATTAAATGTGAATAATGATAATTTGTCTTCACATTCGATTTAGTTGACCTCACAGATCATAGCTGCTTATTAGAACTTCAGGAATACCATCTGAAAGAGTGAGACTATTGAAGACTTAAAAACTGATTCAGGTCCTTTATCTGACCGCTTGCTGCTCGTGTCTGTAGACTACCGAATGGTAGATCAAAACAGCTATTCAGTTCTCCTATGTTTTCTATGGTTCTCTAAACAATGTTAATGGTGTGTTAAAATCAATTATCACAAGCTGGTAAATGGTTGAATAAAATTAACAGACGGAAACTGTTTATTCATATTTACATGAGATGATAAATAGGAACGTAAAATATCTCAGAGGAATGTTTACCTTTGTAAGACGATGATTTTGCTCTGTCATCCTTCGGAGTAGATCAGTCAACTGTTCATTTCTATTACGTAGACATTCTTTCTCCTCACCTGCCTTGTACATATTCATCTCTAAATCAGCTAAACGTCGTTGTAGTTTCATAACTGTACTTGTATACGTTGTACTGTTTGAAGTATTTGTGTGAAGTAAACCTTCTAAATAAAAATATTTATAAAAATATTTTTTAACTAGAGCTTATATCCTACTAATATCCCTACTAGCGGTCGACACTTCCAATATTTATTGATCTAAAGACGAGATTCAACTCTGTCGAATATGAGGAGATATAGCCGTGTTTGAGTGTGAAAAATGTACTAAGCAAATATAAGCTATCTACTAGATCCTTCGTAGACGTTAAAATACTTGGTTCCAGATGTTATCTAAAATGATGAAAACCAGTTGTATCGGCTAGAAATGCATGCTACCACGGTTCTTGTTTGGTTTCGTAATAGATGTACTAATGGACATCATAGGGATTGATTTAATCGTTGGATGTCATCTGGTTGACTTTGAGTATGCAGAAGACATTGTCCTATCAGTTGAAAGTGACAATAAAACGCAGAATCTTCTGGATGCGTTAAACAGAGATCCGAGTATGTTTGGTATGTGTTTCGCTGTCAGCTATCCAATGTGTAAGGTGCTGTTCCAAGTCTGGTCTGCTACGAGTACTTCCAGTTTAATGATTGGAAATGAAGTGATGGAGTGTATCAACCACTCCCCTAACTTGGGGTTTTGTGGCATCTTGAACAGGATGATTGCTGATGAAATCTCAGCTTAGATACAGAAGGCCAGTTTAATATTTGCCAACTTACATCAACTGTGGTGGCCACCGACGAGATAAGCAACTAACAGTCAAAGGACGAATTTACTGTGCTCCAGTCTGTTCTGTCCTGTTATACACCTATTAGACATGGTTATTGAAAATAGAAGATTTGAAGTGATCAAAGGTATCTTTGTAGCATTGCTAGCGTTTTGATGGAATCATCTTGTAAGCGATTTTGCGATAAAGTGAAAGGTACTAGGCAAGATAGCTTAGACATGTGTTGCCCATGACAAATTACCGCCTACCTCAACGTACTATATTGAAGGAAGTTGGTTTAGTTTAGAAGAATGTTCAGGATGATCAGACTAATACAAGAATATTTAATTTAAAGTAACCTTAATCTTCAAATTGTTTATATTCTCACATAAATTTGTCTACTATGATATCACACCTTTTTGTATCCACTAGTTATTTGTGTATTATAATGAAGCAGTGACAACTTCAGTTAATCCACTTGTATGCGAGGTTATAGGTCAGTGTTAGTCAATTGTTTATTTGTAAAATTTCTTAATCCCTTTGAACCAAGTTGATATTTTTTATTAGGGACACAATAATTAACTTTTAACCAAACAGATGAAAGAAAATCGGTTGATAAATTCAAGATTAATCCATGTAGAAAATGTGATTATTGTACTTTTATAAGGTTACTTAATTATAAGCAACTTAACAGTTGACAGTATTCTCATATGATAGAATAATCTGTAACTAAACGTCTATTGCAGTTATTATTGTTAGTATTAGTATTCGTATTGTTATTATTGTATTTTTCAGATGAATGGGGATTTTTAATTTAGAGGTAGTATTCATCATGGAATGACATCAGTTAGGGAACCATTCAAAATCTGGGAGCACTGGATAGCTGTTTCGTCCTAGTATTGGACTCCTCAGCAGTACGCACCCACGACCTGGCTAGAGATTGAACTCAGGACCTTTAGGTTTCATGGCAAACGCGTCAACCACTCAATCACTGGGTCGGTTCTCAGTGGTTCACAATTTCAAACTTCTGTCGATATATAATATAAGGCAACTTTCACTGAGGGTTTTTAGTCAGCATCCACTTCACTTCCGACTGGTTGACCCCACAGGTTACGGCTTCTCATTAGAACTTCCTGACATCCATCTGGAAGCAAGTCACTAATGAACATTATACAGTAATGTATTTTACAGATGAATGGGGATTTTTAATTTAGAGGTAGTATTCATCATGGAATGAGATCAGTTGAGGAACTATTGAAAATATGGGAGCACTGGATGGCTGTTTCGTCCTAGTATTAGACTCCTCGGTAGTAGGCCAAGAACCACTGAAAGTCGACCCAGTGGCAGAATGGTTAACGTGTTCGCCGTGAAACCTGAAGGTCCTGAGTTCAATCCCTAGCCTGGTCGTGGGTGCGTACTGCAGAGGAGTTCCAAAAGAAGGTGAAATAGCTGTCCAGTGCTCCCAGATTTTCAACGGTTCCCCAATTAATGTCAGTCCATGATGAATACTACCTCTAAATTATTACTATTATTATGCAAACGTTGTAATTTTTGAAAAAAATCCGATAACTGTATTAAATAATGATGGATAATGGCTAGCAATGGAATCCAGGATAAGCATTTCGTCCTATTTGGGACTCATCTGGATGTATCTGATTATCGATTCAATCAACGACGGTATAATACAAGCAATTATATTATTTTATGAATTCGACTCTTGGATAATGTACAGTACATAGACAATAAAGCTTAACTATACAGTGGGTAGGTTGATCTAACTCAGTATTAATAAACTGACTGTCAAGTAATCGTAATACTTAAGGTGTACTTATCACTACAAGGGCTACTTTCACAGAAATATTACAGTAAAAAATCAATACTGGATTTCCCTAAACAAATAAAAGTGTATCTCCTTAGAATACTGATAAGAATACTTTCCATATTGAAGATGGAGATCAGATGGCCAGAAAGAATAAGCAACAAGGGACTCTGGCTGGCTGGAAAAGGACCTGTAGCCCGACAAATATGCAGGGGAAGAAAGTGGAGATGGATCGGCCGTACACTGAGAAGGCGGTTCGGAGACAACACATGTCAGGCCAGACCATCGAGTGGAAGCCAAATGGGAAACGACGAGTGGGGCATACAAATGTGACATAGAGAAGATGGTGTGAGGAAGAAATGAAAGCTTGTAGGCAGTCATGCAGCCAGGTTGAGAAGACTGTAGAGAACAGAGTGCAATGAAGACGGGCTACTAAAGCCCTATGTTTCACTAGGAATCAAAGGGAAAAATAATAATAATAATTACTGGTTATTACGTTGGAATTCATCATGGACTGACACCAGTTCCAAACCTGGGAACACTAGACAGCTGTTTCGTCCGAATAGTATAGGAGTTTTCAGCAGTGCGCACCCATGACCCCACCCTCTTAGGATCGAACCCAGGACCTCAAGGTTTCTCAGACAGCACGTTGTTATCGAGAAACTGGGTCGGAATACAGCCGTTCACATTTTCTACCTCTGTCAGTTCCCGATATACGGTGACCTACATTCAATGTCATCGTTAAGTAACCGTCCTCATGTTCAACTTGATTGACTCCACTAGTTATAACTCTTCATTGAAACTTCGAGAATCACCTGTCAAAAGTAGTCACCAATGCATGCTAGATTATTTCTGTTTGGAAGTTTGTGAAGGTTTATGAATTGATTTAAGGTTGGGATTCGACCACTGGTGGGGTCATGGGTGTACGCTACTGAGGAGTTCCATACTAGTCGGACAAAACAGAAGTCCAGTGCTCCTAGGTTTCCAATGTCCCTCCAAATCATGTCAGTTCATGATGAATTCCTACCTGAAATCAATTCATAAACCTTCACAAACCTCCGGATAGTTTTGTCTATCATTCTGACTATCTGAAATAGCCGTGGTTGGGCAGGCTAGTATTGATGCTGAGTGATGATTGAAGAAATGAAAAGAAACCTCTCAAAGGCTGTATATCTTCGTCGAAGCTCTTGCCATCCATGTAGAGAAACCTGAACTGTGTACGTAAATGAAGATTGTTCAACCCCTTCTCCTTTCATCATCTAAGTTTTCAGTCTTTGATATCTCCTGTACCTCCCGTCACCCCCCTTTTCCTTTCATGTTTCCGTTTCACTTCTTAAGTAATTTGCCATTTTTTCTTATTGCTATACTCTGCCTGATCAGAATCTAGTTTCCAATTATGTTATCATATTAGGGAATATCTTGTCTAAACTTATTTTGACTAATATTCATTAGTCATCAGTTTTCAGCTTTGTGATTTGAATGACATCTTATTTATTATTTATTTGTCCCTAGAGTTCCTAGTGGAACAAAGGGCTTCAGTAGCATGTCTTCCTTCCACTGTGTTCTCTGCAATCTTTTGGACCTGGCTCCAAGACAGCCCAGAAGCTTTCATTTCTTCCTCACATGATCTTCTCCATGTCACCCTCGGACGCCCAACTATATAATTGTTGAATGAGGTTGATAAAGGTTTGTGGTATTCCGATCGACGCTGTCGAAGGCCTTTTCAAAGTTGATGAAGTCAAGGCAGAGAGTTGCCATTCTGCAATTCTATGCTCTGTTCCATGATAATGCATAGTGTTGCAATTTGGTCCGCACATGATTTGCTCTTCCTGCATCCAGCCAGCCTGTTCAGGTTGTAGTTTTTAGTCCAGCGCATCGTTTAGTCTCTTCAGGATCATGTGGCCTAATATTTTACTTGGGGTGGACTGCAGCATGATTCCGCGGCAGTTCTTTAAAGGACTTAGGTCGCCTTTCTTCAGGAGTTTAACAAGGTAGCCCTTCTTCTAGTCGATCAGCAGGTAACTTTCCTTCCTTCCAGACCTTCTACAATAGTGGTGTGAGCATGTCCGCTGTTGTCTCTGAATCTGTTCTCAATGCTTCTGGTGAGATTCCATCTGGTCCCGCTGCTTTCCCGCATTTCAGCAGCTTTATGGAGCTCAGGACTGACTTTCGTTGGAGGGCTTGTGTTCACTGGTAGTTCTGTGGCTGCAGGTGGTATTTCTGGATGAAGTGCGGGTGGTGGTGCTGGTGGCCGATTCAAGAGCTTCTTGAAGTGGTTGGCCCATTGTTTCCTTTGTTTCTCTTCTTTGGTAATTAAATTTCCTTCATCATCTTTTATTGGTTTCATGTGGATTAATCTCTTCCCAGAAAGCAGTAACGTGGTTATTTGATATAATGTTGCCAGGTCTCTCTTACCTGGAGCCTGTTCTGCTTGACTTGCCAGTGAGTCACAGAAGTGTCTTTTGTCTTTCCGTGCACTCCTCTTCACTTCTTTGTCCAGTGGTTTATACGTTGTACTCAGTTCTTCTTTTCGTTGT